GGCTTTGACGATAAAAGCTGGTATCCCTTGGACCACCATTATCATCACAAAATGCAATTAGCCTCCAGAAAAAAAGAAAATGCAGGGGAAAGATTCCTAGAGCCTCCATAAGGAGACCCTGTCTCAAAAGTAAAAGTAAAAACAGGGGTTAGAGAGATGGTTCAGCCTTTAAGAGCACTGGTGGCTCTTGTAGAGAAGATCAAGGTTAGATTCCATGCATGTACATGGTAGCTCTCAACTGTCTCTAACTCCAGTTCTGAGGAAACTGACACTCTATTTGGGCTTCCACAGGCACTGGCAGGCATGCAAGCAGTGTGCAGATACCCTTGTCAGCAAAACACCCATACACATAAAGCAATAAGCCCTGAGAACAGGGCTAGGTGTTTGGACCCACTTACTTCAGGATCCTCCCCTCTGGTTCTTGGATTAGGCATCGACCACACCCAAATTCCAATTTCCAAGCACAAACCAAACACAAAGTGACACTTTAATTAAGCAAGGCAAAGAGACAAGGTGGTTAACCCTGAATCAGGCAGAAACAGCAGCAAATGACTTTGCAAGTGTTAATTTTAAGAGGGAAAGGGAGCATTTGCGAAGGGTGTTGTTTCCCTAATTTCTTTCTTGGCCCATTTGTCTTTTGTATACAGGAGGGCTACTGATTTTTTTGAGTTAATTTTGTATCTAGCCACTTTGCTGAAGGTGTTTATCAACTGAAGGAGTTCTCTGGTTGAAGTTTTGGGGTCACTCATATATACTATCATATCATCTACAAATAGTGAAACTCTGACTTCTTCCTTTCCGATTTGTATCACCTTGATAACATAACGTACCTTGCTGTGACTCTAACCAAGCAAGTGAAAGACCTGTTCGAAAAAATAAATAAATAAACTTCAAGTCTCTGAAGAAAGAAATAGAAGATATCAGAAGTTGGAAAGATCTTCCATGCTCACTGATTGGTAGGATTAACATACTGAAAATGGCCATCCTGCGAAAAGCAATCTACAGATTCAATGCAATTCCCATCAAAATACCAACACAATTCTTTACAGACCTTGACAGAACAAATCGTAACTTCATATAGAAAAACAAAAAACCCAGAGTTGCTAAAACGATCCTGTACAACAACAGATCATCTGGAGGTATCTCCATCCCTGTTCTCAAGCTGTACTGCAGAGCAACAGTAATAAAAACTGCATTGTACTGGCATAGAAGCAGAACGGTAGATCAATGGAATCAAATAGAAGACCCAAAAATAAACCCACATATATACAGATAGTTAATTTTTGACAAAGGAGCCAAAACCATACAATGGAAAACTGATAGCATCTTCAACAAATGGTGCTGATCTAACTGGATGTCTACATGTAGAAAAATGGAAATACATCCATATTCATCACCCTGCACAAAACTAAAGGCCAAGTGGATCAAAGCCTCTACATAAAACTAGACACACTAAATCTGTTAGAAGAAAAAGTGGGGAAGAACCTAGAACTCATTGGCACAGATGACAACTTCCTGAAGAGAACACCAACAGCACAGGCGCTAAGATCAACATTCAATAAATGGTACCTCATGAAACTGAAAAGCTTCTGTAAAGCATAGGACACTGTAATCAGAACAAACAACACCCTACAGACTAGGAATGGATCTTCACCAACCCTGTATCCGACAGAGGGCTAAAGTCCAGAATATATAAAGAACTCAAGAAGTTAAAAAGCAACAAATCAAGTAATCTAATTAAAAATGGGGTACAGAGCTAAAGAGAAAATTCTCTGTAGAGGAATATAGAATGGCAGAGAAACACTTAAAGAAATGTTCAACCTCATTAGTCATCAGGGAAATGTAAATCAAAACGACCCTGAGATTTCACCTTACACCCATCAGAATGTCTATGATCAAAAACACTAGGGACAATACATGCTGGAGAGGATGGAGAGAGGGGGGGGGACCCCCCCATTGCTGGTGGGAATGTAAACTTGTACAACCACTTTGGAAATCAATCTGGCACTTTCTCAGACAATTAGGAATAAGCTTCCTCAAGGTACACTCCTAGGCATATATCCAAATATGCTCAAGTATACAACAAGGACATTTACTCAACCATGTTTTTACCAGCTTTATTCGTAATAGCCAGAACCTGGAAACAACCCAGATGCCCCTCAATTGAGGAATGGAACTTTTGGTACTTTTACACACTGGAATACTACTCAGCAATTAAAAACATGGAAATCATGAAATTTGCAGGCACATGGTGGGATCTAGAAAAGATCATCCTGAGTGAGGTATCCTAGAAGGAGAAAGACACACGCAGTATATACTCACCTATAAGTGGATATTAGACATAAAATGTAGGGTAAACATAATAAAATCTGTACACCTAAGGAAGCTAAGCAAGGAGGAGGACCCAGGTTAAGATGATCAATCCTCACTCAGAAAGGCAAACAGGATAGAAATCAGAAGAGAGAGAAAACAGGGAACAGGACAGGAGCCTACCACAGAGAGCCTCTGAAAGACTCTACCCAAAAGTGTATTCAAGCAGATACTGAGGCTCATAACCAAACTTTGTGCAGAGCACAGGGAATCTTATGAAAGAAGGGGGAGATTGTAAGATTTGGAGGGGACAGTAGCTCCACAAGGAGAGCAACAGAACCAAAAATTCTGGGCACAGGGATCTTTTCTGTTACTGATTCTCCAACCAAGGACCATTCATGGAGACAACCTAGAACCCCTCCACAGATGTAGCCCACGGCAGCTCAGTGTCCAAGTGGGTTGTCTATTAAGTGGAACAGGGACTATCTCTGTCATTAATTCAGTGGCTGGCTCTTTGATCACCTCTCCCAGAGGGGGGAGCAGCCTTGCCAAACCACAGAGGAAGACAATGCAGCCATTCCTGATAAGACTTGAGAGGCTCTGTTCAGATGGAAGAGGAGGAGGACCTCCCCTATCAGTGGACTTGAAGAGGGGCATGGGAGGAGATAAAGGAGGGGGGACAGATTGGGAGGGAGTGAAGGAGGGGCTACAGCTGGCATACAAAGTGATAAAAATTGTAATTAATATAAAAAATTAAAATATTAAAGAGCAAAAGGAAGAAGGTCTGTGTTAGGATGAGTTGGTAAATTCTGATTGGGTAATCTAACTGGGATAGTCAAAATAATGAAATGTGAGAGCTGGGCCTTGATGTTTTGGTAGCTGAACCTTAGTGGTCAGCTTCAGGAATGAGTCAGGCATAACAAAGTGGCCAAATAAGGGAAGAGAACTTGGTGTCTGGCTTTAGGAATGTAATCTAATGGCTTAGATCAAGGGAGGGGGAGGGAAAAGGGCAAAGTATGCTAGCTCCATGTTTGCCATTTTCGATCCCGTGTTTGCCATGCTTTGATCTGCTAGAGCCCTTCATTAGAGATATAGTTCAGTGGTAGGATGCTTGCCAATGAGCAGCAGAAGGTCAATGGCTCAATTCTCTATAAAATAAAGAATAAACCTTATAAGGGATGAATGTTTAAGATCATTGCATAGAACCTAGAACCCCTGCCTGGATATAGTCCATGGTAGCTCAGTATCCAAGTGGGTTCTCTAGTAAGGGGAACGGGAACTATTTCTGACATGAACTCAATGGTGAGCTCTTCGATCTCCCCCCCATCCCCTGAGGGAGGAGCAGCCTTGCTAGGCCACAGAAGAGCCAGTCCTGAAGAGACCTGATAAGCTAGGGTCAGATGGAAGGGGAGGAGGACCTCCCTATCAGTGGACTTGGAAAGGGGCAGGAAGGAGATGAAGGAAGGAGGGTGGGATTGGGAGGGAATGAGAGAGGGGGCTATGGCTGGAATACAAAGTAAATAACCTGTGATTAATATAAAAAATAAAAATTAAAAAAATTTAAAAAAGAGTTAAAAAAATTCTGAAAAAAAAGATTATTGCATTGAATACATGGAACATGAATGGAGGAAGGATTAGCAGAAGAGGAAAGGAAACAGCACGAGGTAGGGAAAAAGATGGGTGAACAATGAAAGTATCAGACAAAGATGAACGAAGCATGACACATATGTATGACAATGCCATAAAGAAACCCATGACTTTGTATGCTGACTTAAAATATTCACTGTAAAAGGTAGAAATGGAACTTTACAGAACTAATAAACACAGGACATAGACGTTTCAGTCACAAACATAGCTTCCCCTTTTGAATTATAAAACAAAGTCACCTTGGACAGATTGCAATATGTGAGGAAAGAATTTCAATTCATCTTTAAATTTTGCTTTTATGTGTGCCATAGAAGAGACTTAATCACTTCTCCTTAAATAGTCATATATCTTCTCATTCTTTTTAGTAACTATTATCAAGAACATGTAGCTATTTTTATTCAAACTCAGAAAATGCAAACCTAAAATCATCCTAAGATCACTAGAAATTGCAGTGATGAACACAGGCAGTGGAAACCCATTCAGGGACACATAATTAAGTAACACCCAACTTGGGAAAAAGAACAGAAAAGTGCTCTTTACAGGAGCAAGTGTAATGAGATGTTGCCATTATTTAGGCAGTCTATTAGGGCATTACAAACACAAAATTATAGCTTTCCAAAAACCACACTTAGTGTTTACATGTGAATACACTTATTTTACTTAAAGTCACTAATTTTTAAAATTAAGCAACAGTGCATTTGCAATTTGAAAAATAATATTACTTGCTAAAAAATAATCATTAAAGTTCAAAGGTGGTTACAGAATATATTTTACACTAAGAAAAACTTGGTGTTAAAAATCATAAATAAAATGAATGGAACAGAAGCTATTACTTATATTGTAATGGTAAAGAGAAGATATGGGTAGCAATGATTTTGAGACACAGTTTTGCCTGGTAGCTGATTATGGCCTCACGCTTTTGCTCTTACTGCTTCAGATCCATGTGTTGCCCTTTTGCAATGTATTTACATGGTCCCACTTTTATTTTCCTCCTCCATTTATCCTGATTTTCTGACCACTAAATGATCAACCAGAGCCAAATGTACAGCACAGTAAGATAGTCTTTATTATGTCTTAACTAGAAATAGCAGACAGCAAGCTCACGAGGTATGATCTGATTATTTTAAAATGAGACTTCAATAATCAAAAAATAAGCCTTAACTGCACAGATAGTTTGGTCACTGTTATTATCTCCAGAGGCACAATAGCCAGCAGCATAAAGTAACATAAAGGTAAGGACAAAGAATTTCTGATGTGTCAAAGCTACAGGTCAAAGCCACATTAAACCTGATGTGTCAAAGCCACATTAAAACCTATCTTTGCATTCTTGACGTTACAGTTATTCAGCAAAATGTCAACCAAATGTAGCACTCATATGAGAATCTTGTCTTAATATTGTTGCCACTCTAAGCTCCTCTTTACCCTAAAAAGTCAATGAATCGTGATTTCAGTGCTTACATGGATTGGGTATCAGTGATAATATGCAAAAATGATTTCATTTTCAAGGTTAAATGGCAGACTGACTTTGCATTTGGTGGCCAGCTGTGTACCCTAATATTTGTCTTTGATTTTTTTAAAATAAATTTAACGATATTTCATAAACCCTGAGATATTAGATAACCTGCTAATGATTGTTCACTTTTAATGTATATTCTACTCCATTTGTCCTAACTCCACGTAAGTTTTTTAAATTATTCACACATAGTTGTAACTAACGCAATGATAAAATTTATTACTGTATAGCTAAGACTACTAATATAAGGCCTTTAAGTAAGAGTTGCATATTTTATGTATTTTACTTTGCCAGAAGCAACCCTTAAAATTATTATCTATAATTCTGTCCCCAGTTAGTGCTTTCCTTTTGGTTAGTTCTCTATGGAGGGCCAGACGTTTTTCCTTTCTTTCTTTTATTCTCCTTCAAACATAAACACCAATTTCCCCACTGAATAGCTGCCAAAAGAAACTTAACAGTTGAATACCATGCCATGAGCTGTCTGCCTGGCAGGGAAAGATGCAGACCACACATTCAATAGATACCTGTACCTCATGGAAGGAATGAATTGTAAGGCAGTTATTAGAGTCATATACTGTCAATCATATACTTAACTAATTTTGCTTACCCGGGAGATCTGTTTATCAGATTTAATTCTACCTCAAGTGTAAAGTAAGAAATTGACAAGAAAAATAAATGGATTTGCCAGTTTTTAGGAAAAAGAAACAAATGAGTCACAGTTGCTACCATAACATTTGATGCAGGTGTGGGTGTGGGGGGTGTCAAAATTACTTTCCATGAACAATTCCATGAGGAAAAAAATTAAAATAAACCTGAAAGGTATTATATAATTCATGTACTTTACTCTGCATTTATCCTTGCAGCTTCTTTGTTCACATATTTATCCCTGTTAAAGATAATGTCAGTATCTAAATAGATTTTTCCCATCTCTGTAGGTACATAATGCTAGTGAAAGGCTTATATAAATATAAGATTCTTGTCAGTTTATATTTTTGCATTAATTTTTGGCTAACATTTATATCTTTAAATAGTATGCTATACTATTATGTAGTATATTATGTAGTATATGCTATACTATTATGTAGTATAGCATACTAGATAATCTGCCAACTTCCTATATACTAGACTTCTGCTTACAATATTCAGTTTTTTGTTGCTAGCTTTGAAGCATATTGCACACTTGTCATCTAGTACATTAATAACTAATCATTACTCTTTTTAGAAAGGATACACTTACAAATTTAAGTTAATGGCTTTAACCCAAAATATTTAGTGGGTTACAGGACAATTGCAATCGCAAAAACATTAACAATGCAGTTCATCGTGCGGTTCTCCCATTTTACGGTACAGGTACCTGAAAGCATACAAGAAGAGGACTTTGATATACTAGCAAAACATCAGATTTACCAGGCACAAAGTAACACACACACACACACACACACACAGCTTTCACCTGAGCATGCATGAACACTTACAGCTTTTAGTAATATTTCCTCCAACATATTGTATCTCCACATTTCAAACTAGGCTAAAATTGTCCTTGTGAATAGATACAAAGCAATTTTATTGATACAATCTTTTCAGACTTTAAGTAACGCTACATGACCTTAAGTAGAGCCCTGACTGACTTTGCTGGAATTTTGATTCTAGGTAAATTCATTTAAGACCTCTCACCATCAGACGTAGTATCCCAAAAACAGGAGCTGGCAGTGTGAAAACCAAATGCACTTCTCTGGACCACTGCACAGGTCACTACAAAGAAAGTCATAGAATGACAGTTACTGAAAAAGGAAAGGAATCAAAGTTGATATGTTTGTATTAGAACTCTAAAAGATGAAAAAAAAAGTAACACAAAATAATTGAGCTACTACACTGAAATAGTCTTCTATTTTGAATATTTACCACCATAACCTTCATGGGATTCAGCAATTTCATGGACCATTACTATAACCACCAGCAATTGCAGTGCAGAAAAATTCAGACCAAATTGTGTGCTCTGTACCATTAACAGATTTCAGACAGCAATGCAGGGAATACTTCACTTTGTACTTGGTGTGCTGTTCTTCACAGGTCTATACAGAGGTCTATACAGGGGTCTCTAAGGGAAAGACAGCACTGAAGGGTCTCAGTAGACAAAGAGAACTGATGCTACAAAGGGCAAGCAGTTTAAAGTGCTTTAGCCTGACAGGCCTCCATTTTACACATCATTATGTATTACGTTTAAAGGGATATATAAACACATCATCATGTATTAATTGAGTCCTACAATATCAGTGCTCAACTACAGTGCCTATCATTCAGATACATCCTCAAAATTCAGAGAAAATAAGAAAGATAAAGGTATGTAAACTAGTGAGGACGGACACCATAGCAATACTTACCGATGTACTTATAAGCTTTTCCCAGCTTAACCAAATGTGATATGGATTGCTCTACTATGTTTGCAGTCCATTGATTGATGTTTTCCTGATTGTAGTCCTCACCTCCCAAGATTCCATCAACACACTAGGAGAGGACAGCTTAATTAGCCAAAAATGAACCAAATTTTACTTACACCGCAAGCAAAATTCATTCGAGGCATCACCCACTAATGCCTAACAGAAAATCCGCATTTACTAAATGTTTGTTCTCTGTTTAAGTGTTTTCTAAGTATCTTCACAAGTCTTATCTCATCCCATGAAATAGTACAGGTCATATGAAGATAAATTTGCCAAAGCCTCTGTGGTACAGAGCCTAATCTAGCAGATATTCCAGTAAAAGAACTCTAATGTTTATAACACATGGAAAACAAATCATAACCAGTAAGTGATTTAAAAATGATTGGAAGATTAAGGGAAGATAGTTCTAAATGGTTATAGAGTGGCTTTGAAACAGATAAGTTTAAAACTAGGGTTCAGTTCTCTGGATGATAATCCCATTCGTGATCTATAATTAATTGCTTGGCTTCAAAACAAACAATACACCTGCCAGTGATAGTAAATAAAGATACTATAGAAACAGAAAGTCAAATAACAACCTTCCCTGATTACTTGCATGCATTTTTAACACCTGATTTAGAGCAATGGCTTTAATATCCCTGTCCTTGGCCTGAAGGCCAGATCTATACCAGTCTGTTATGGAACCCTTAGCAAATGATTTACCACCTTTAAGCCACTATTTCCCAGACTGGGGGGAGATGAGCAAGCACAGAGTGAATGAAATCCTGACTAATGTGTGCTTCTGACAGGGATACAGCCATGTCAAGGACTCCATAGCCTCAGACCCATGGGAAAAATGGCTAAGCCTCCCCTGTTTCCCCCACCAAGTTAAGCCTCAAAAAAGGTATTAAAGCCTTCCTCTGGTCCACATGCAGATGTTGATAGTGTGTAGACAAGGTCCACTATAGCTTTCTCTCCTAGATGTTTACAGCTTGAAGGATGCTCCACTACAGAGACTCTTCCTGCAAAGATTAGCTAAACCTGCCTCTTTATTTGGCCGTATATAATAACCCGCCTCCTCTTTGGGTGTAGTAACCCTGTCTCCTTGCTCAACTCTACTTAATAAACAAGCAGAAATTCTTAGATGCTGCTGATTCTCGGTCAGAAAGCTTACTGCACCTGATCCCGGCTTTGCTACCCATGTGTCTGTCTGTATGCTTCTCTTTTCTTCTTCATTCCTCCATTGCCCCCAGGCAAGTCCCTGGAGTTATGTACCTGATTCTTACAGAGAGAACAGTGTCACCTTCTCAGATGATAAAGGGATGAAATGAAAAAATGAATAGCCAGTCCTCAATCACTGTGACTGGCATAGAATGAGGCCATAGATAACTATTATTATCACTCTACTTGTTGATGCTGCTATTTGATATTTCAGGCGATAGAGCTTGAAAAATAAACAATAAAATTGGTTTCAGAATCTAGATCAAAGCACACAATTATGAATGTGTCTTCACTGACTGCAACTGGGTTATAGTAAAGATTTATAAAGAGGCTCATTATTAATATGGAAACTCCAGTTGGGTATTATAAAATATAATATAATACAATATACAATATGTAAAGATAAAATGTTAATTCAAAGGGGTTAATGGAAATAAAGTGAGGCAAATTACTTTTGGAATTTCAATAACATGGCAGAGGAGAAGTGTCCTAAAAAACAGAAGAATAGATTCTTAGTTTTTATCATTACCAAGTTAATAACCTTGGGAAAAACCTTTCCACTATCCACATGGCCTTTTCTTAATGGAAAAGTATGAGCACACCATTGTTTATTTTTGTGGTTGTTGTTTTAGGTCATTTACTAGCACCACTTAAATTCTGCTCCAAACAACACAAAATACTATAAGGATGTCAACAGCCCTGCTGATTAATATTAATGAGTATTTAGGCTAACTAATTACCATCAACCCTGAAAGACACTAATGTGAATCAGAGGTTTAAATAGTTATGCATTCCCCCAGGGCAAAGCTCAGGACTTGGACACACAGCAAGTATTGAATAAATGTTGTTGAAGCAGTACTGGGTTTTATGTATTTTCTGGATATTCTAAATTGAACATGGTTTTGAGTTTAAGTCATTTATAATAAAATTTTTCTCTAAGGAAGTTTTAAGCATTGAGGAAATTCTATCACTCACTAAGTAAAATGTCATCTAGTACTAGTTCATGAATGGCCCTAAAAGCTCAGCAGTGAAAGTAAATTAGCAGGTAGATCTCAGAGCAAGAAATTAAAAGAAGCCAACAGTGGGGGAGCATGCCTTTGATCCCAAACTCGGGGAGGCAGAGACAGGTGGATCTTTGTGAGCTCAAGGCCAGACTGGTCTACAGAGAAAGTCCCAGGACAGCCAAGGCTTCATAGAGAAACCCTGTCTTAAAAAAAAAAAAAAAACACAAACAAAAACAAGCAAGCAAGCAAACAAACAAAAGAAAAATGAAATTAAAAGAGAATAAAATAAGTATGGAATAAAACAGAAATGACTATTGAAATTATGGAATTATCTAGGATGGTCTGAAATATTTTAAAACAGTATTTGTACCTTCAAGCATGTTCAGCCCCTTACTGGAAATATTTTAGTGGCATAGAAAGGTGACTCAAGAAACAAAGACAAAGAAGAACAGCAACAAGTTCCCCAAAACAACCTGTAATGACCTGAGATACTTTATTCAATTAAACAACTTATACAGCTAACCATATTCTTGGGTTATATTTCAGTAAAATTCATACTCTAAAATGCATCTAGTAAGCTGGGTGCAGTGGTGTATGTCTATAATTTTAATGCTTGAGAGTCTGAGGCAGGTGTATGTCAACTTGGAGGCCAATTTGGCTACATAATAGCACTTTATATCAAAACCCCAAAAGAAACAAAGGAGAAATAAAATGAATTTAGTAGTTTCTAGTATCACTTAACTACGAACGCACACACACACACAGTCTTTAACATTCTTGACCTCTTATTCCATCCATCATTTCTTCCTCCAGAAATGGAGTAAGTTAAACGGTTGGTGAGTGATCAGCATTGTTCAACCATACCCATCTGAGAAAAACCACATTCCTAATCATCTTGGTGTTAGATTGCCACTTCTCCTTCCATTTACACCCAGTCCAAAGAGACACATTGTCCTGTGTTTCTCCCTGTTGACTCAAACTTTCCCTTGTGTGCACATAAACCCAGTATTGCAAGTTCTGAACTGATCTATGGTTAGTAAAACACAATGTAAACATCAACCTGTATTTATATATAATAAAGACAGTGTTTTGTTCTTTCAAGTGTCTTTTCATATGGCTCAGAACTTGGGTAAGGAAAATATATTAAAGTGACTCTACCTAAAGACCCAGCATCTTTTGCTTTATGTCCAATAACCAAAGACACTCTCTCTTGACATTCTACTTTGAAAAATAAGATTATCACTGCTTCTCCCTTCTAATTGTTTTTCCTTGTGCTGACATTGTGAAGGCACTGAAAACATGTGCATTTTATTTTAACTAAATATTCCTAGATCTATAGTTTTATAATACAGTCTGGCTATTTTAAATAATTAAGTATTCTAATACACAATTCTTCAACTCTTAAAATGCAGGAATGTTTTTAGTGTTGCCTAGCCCTCTGGGTCGTTGAGCCAATCCTACTTGTACAAGGTGTAGCTGAGATCTGGATGAGACTATAGCCTTAGTGCAATCAGGCAAGTCAAAAACTGTGTCCAGATGAATTAATAGCACACACACATAACGCCCAGAAGGTGGAGCCAATCCTGCCCAGACAGAACTCAGTCAGGGCTAGCCACAGGTCCCAAGAACCACACCCACAAGTGAAGGCTGCCTTGTAAACCAGCTCAGGTTTTTCTTAATTAGGATCTGGCAGAGTTAAGAATGACTCTGGACTTTTAAAGTGCCCTTACAGTATCTTATCCACAGAATAGTCTATATTGATAACACTAGAATCAGTAAAGGTCCTCAGCATCTTTTCTTTCTGTAGATGTGAAACAGAGCTTCAGTGTGTCTTTCAGAAAAAGTCCAACTAGACCTCCCTGCATGCAAAAGACCACACACACACACACACACACACACACACACACACACACACACACCCCTACAAAGACTGATTACATATTTTAAAGCTTGGTGGTTTAACATTAACATTTCTAGCTTTGGCCTGGCAAATTAAAAAAGAAAAACAACCAAAAATAGAATTTAAAAGTTTTCCATCAACACAACACTCTTTGAGAGAACAGCAAATAAAACTCACCTCTTTGACTATATTATGTGCTTCCTCAGGATTGAAGCCAACCTAAAGAGAAACCACATGATAAAACTGCTTTTAGCACAGGCTTCCCTTTATTCATAACTATGGCAAAATACAGGATACCCTCAGCTGTTCTAAAAAACTGAAAGCGATAGTGACAGAAAACCATAGTGCTAGGAGCATCAGGTCTGCAAGGATGCTGATCCTACTCCCTGTAGATTCAGAGCCATTAGAATTGGGCAGGGCCTAGGCAAATACTTTTTTGAAAAGTGCTTTTACAATAGTGATTCTAATGAACATTCTAGATAATCATCACATTATAAAGTTTAAGAAATTATCATGTGATAGCTATAAATGATGTCGGTTGTGTGTATCAGTATACACAAAATCATTTCAGCTAGATAAAGTGACCTATAAAGAAGAATGTGCTCAACTGTCATTTTCAATTATATTGTGAACTGATGTGAGACAAACCAATGCCTTCCCAAATTAAAGATTAAAGCAATAATCTGCCAGTAGAAATTGATGTCATTTTAATTGTATGAATTGGTCTTTCACTTTTCTGGAGAAGTTTTTTAGAATCTTGGGTTAACAACAATTTTCAATGATATCTAAGTGTCTTCTAGTGCAGAACTAGGAAGTTATGTGATAAAACTGGAAGATGAGCCAAGTTGCTTTAAGTAATACAAGAATTATTTCCATGAAGATATTTTGGATGCACTGGGATAGCAACACTTCTGTGTTTTAAAAATGCTATTCTGAGACTGATACTCTAACCAAGGACCATTCATGGAGATAACCTAGAACCCCTGCACAGATGTAGCCCATGGCAGCTCAGTCTCCAAGTGGGTTCCCTAGTAGGGAGAACAGAGACTGTCTCTGTCATGAACTCAGTGGCTGGCTCTTTGATCACTTCCCCCAGCGGGCGTGGGAGGGGGAGGGGATAGCCTTACTAGGCCACAGAGGATACAATGCAGCCAGTCCTGATGAGACCTGTGATAGGCTAGGGTCAGATGGACGGGGAAGAAGACCTCCCCTATCAGTGGACTGGGAGAGAGGCATAGGAGGAGATGAGGAAGGGAGGGTGGGAATGGGAGGGGAAGAGGGAGGGGGTACAGCTGGGATACAAAGTGAATAAACTATAATCAATATAAAAAGTAAAAATTTAATTTAAAAAAAGCTATGCAACTTAAAACTACTTGAAATAAGTAAATTCTGAAGTTATGTTTTAAATACTGATTTCCCTATTTTAACCCTATTAATTATGCTATAAAAATTTCCACCATCACCCTAAAAAAGGGCAGGGAGATGAAAAATCTAAATATTTGGAGGCATTATGAAAAGAGGTCTATTTTAGCCCTATGATAAATTGCCATTTTGACTTCAAAAATTGGACTAAGAAATAAAGAATGCACATTTCACTAACGGTAATAACGTCAGATGCTTTCTATCTTTTTTTCTGGTACTGGGGATGGAACTTGGGGCCTAGCATTCTACCAATGAGCTATTTCTCCGCTCCCATTTCTTTTGAAATTACTTGTATTTAGGAAGTAGTGCAGAACAGACCCCCTTGCACCTTTGCTAGGAAGTAAATTTGAGGAAGAGACCGTGTAATTGGCGGCAAGTCTTTACTTCTAACATTAGTATGCTCCACCACTGACCTACAAGTATTCGTGCTCTCTGCAACACAGAATCTTCTGCAGAAACTCACATCCTGAAAGTTCCCATTGGACCAAAAGCCCCTTACAAGGATCATCTCACATTGTGCCTCCACCAGGTCTCACCTTTCATTTTCCTGTATCACTCACCGGTGGCTACCACTGGACAGAAAACATCTGTTTACTCCATCTTTGAAAACTCTTACAGGCTGTGCTGCAATTCAACAGGCCTCATAATACAAGTGCTTGAAACAAGGGCTGAAGTGTGAAGACAATGATCTGGGTTCAAATGGAACATCTGTCATTCCTAGCAGTTTGAACTTGGGGCCTATCACTAGGTCACCAAGAAAAGTCAGTTTCCGTTGGTAACAGGAAAATAAGCGACAACATGGAGTTCTGGTGCAGCCTTAGGGAAACCTGAATCAGTGAGCAAGGGCTTTTAATCCATAAAGCACTTCCTTTAGCCATTTCTGGGGAGAGTTCCCAGGAAACAGAGCCATCTTGCAATGCTCAAGACTCAAATAGGTGGAGGAAACAAACAGGACTAGTTTCTCAGGCCTGCACCGCAAACGGGCGGGGCTCGCCAACGCCCGCCCACGCATCCCAGGTTAGGCCCTCCCTAAACCTACTGGGTCCTCAGAGACCCTACCGATAGCCCCCCAAGCACTTTCGGTCACTCAGACCATCGCGATGATCAGCCCACCCTCAGGATCTCCTAGACAAGAAAACAGAGAGGCTTAAGGGCAAGAAGGATCCCGGCCCCGCGAAGTAGACCCAGGCTCACGGGACACGGCATCCTAACTCCCCCAGCATTAAGAGACCACCCGGCAGTGTCCACACAGCCTGGTGAGCAGGGATCTTCCTGGAGTCAGAGGGGCGGTACCTCATCGCAGGGCCCTTGGTATTCCTCCATTGTGTCTTTGGCAGTCCCCGGGGGGAGGAGCAAAGCGGCCGTTGAGCTTTGCGGCCGCGCACTGGCCTCCCCGGAAACCCCGCCTCTATTTAGGGCCCAAGGCTTTTGTTTACGTAGGCCCCGCCTTTCTTTCGCAATGGAGCAAGCTTGCCGGGATCTGCTGGGGACCTGGGTCAAAGGACAGGGAGGGGAGGGAGGGGCTCATGGGGGGATACAAAATGAATAAAGTGTAATTAATAAAAAAAATAAAAGATTAAAAAAAAAAAAAGGACAGGGAGGAGGAGCTCTAATTTAGTTGTGCCGCTTAGCAAGGATGAGGGTGTCTCCTAGTCCTAGAGTGCACTTCAGACCAGGTTAGTCTTCTGAAAATAAGGGGTGCATATTAAGAAGAGCTCGAATGGTGTCCACGGGATTAGTTAGGATGTCATGTGTCAGCCAGTCTAGACTCAGCACAAGTGGTTTAGAGCTCACTGCTGTGGCCCTGTGCACAAAATTCGTTCAAGTGTAGCACCTGAGCAAATAACTTTGATTTCTCCGTGTACTAGTTACTGACTTTGAAAACTCCCCCACAGATTCAGTTTTTTTCCTTATGATAAACAACAAACAAAAAAACAAAGCTTAGTTTTAAATAACTTAAGCTCCTGCCTTCAGATTAAGGTGGTCCAACTTTGCTAATGCCTCTAGGTAGCTACCACAAAACAAAGCAAAGCAATTCTTTCTGGATGAATATATATATACAAATTAGATTTATATTTTTCACATACACTCAGTGCACAATTAAAACACAAGTATGTTCATAAAGAATCAAACCCACATTATCAGAACAGTGGACAATAAAAAGAGCCCATTAAGGATCTAGATGCTACAATTTTTCAGAGATACTTTATAGTAGTTTTTTTTTTTTTTTTACTATATTCACAAGATTGGGCATCTTATTCAACAACTGAAAACTATTTTAAAAATCCATATTAAATTTCTAGAAGTAGAAACTACAGTGTCAACAAATAAGCCTGCCAAACTTACAGGATGGCTTCTTTAGAAGTTGAGACAAAGCTGGAGGTATAACTAGCGATATTTTTTAAAAACACTGTTCTAGGGGTTAGAGAGGTTAAGATCACTTGCTGCTCTTGCAAAAGACCCAAGTTCAGTTCCCATCACCCATCTGGTGACTCAGAACCATCTGTAACTCTCGTTCCAAGGGATCCAATGCCTTCTTCTGAACTCTGTGGGCACCAGGAACTCACATGGTGTTTGCTGTAGTAAATAGACAAAGTTAGGCTAAATACTCATACACATAAAATAAATCTACCAAAAATTGGTTCAGGCTGGGTGTGGCATGCACCTTTAATTTCAGCATTTGGGAAGCAGAGTCAGGTTTAGTTCTGAGAGTCTGAGGTCAGTCTAATCTACCTAGTAAATTCCATGCCAGCCATAGCTACATAGTAAGACCTTGACTCAAAATTAATTAAAAATTGGCCTGAAAAAGATTTCAGGAGTGAGGATGGAGAATGGACACAAAATTCCACCCATGCAAGAGGAGCTACAGTGGGCAGGTGAGCTTCTAGGAGACAGCCCACCATTTTTCTCAGCTGTAATGGATGAACCTTGGAGAGGCAGAGCCTCAGCGCTTCATCTCCAGATTGCTTCATGCTGCTGATGTGCCTTCTCGTGTTTGTCATTGCTAATATTCCTCATAAATCTTGTGTGGTGTGATTGGGCATGGGGAGACCCTCACAGTCTATATATAGTCTGGTGTAATTGTTTTCTGAGTGACAGTCACTCATTTGGGCAATTTTCCTATAGAACAATATGAAGATGAATTTTCATGAAACAATATTGTTTAGATAAATTAATGATGTTACCGAATTCTTGATTTGATTTAAACAGTTTTAGAAAGTTAGGTTAAGATTTTTTTTTTTTTTTGTCCGTGGCTCTAATGTAGAAAATCTTGAGGAACAAATTGAGGTTCAGAAAAGCACACTCCGATTAGTTGAGTTAGGGACCTTTTGAGGTTAAGTAGCAAGAACAATAGCCCAAATGATCACTGGATGACATGACTCTCTTACTGAAGCTGGGCTGGTGATTAAGGTGATTAATATCATGTACCCCTTTTGCCATCAGTTTCCTGATATGATTCAATAAAAATTTTAATGAGTAGATGTGCACCTTAAGGATGTAGAGTAGAAAAGGTTGGTTTTTTATATAAAAGTTTAAATTTGTGATTCTTTTGATCTTTTTGTAAGATTACTTTTTAAGATAATTGATTCTTTCTTTGTAACTGAAAATTGCAGTCTGCCAGTAAGAGAAACTGGCTGGAAAAATTACCTTGCTTTCCCACATTTTGCAAATCTATAACAAGTTGCTTAGTTACAAGTGTATGTAGGTTCTTGGGAATAATTTATTTTTCACCAATAATATGTAAAATTTTTGGTCATGTGAGGGCATTTGGGAACATTTATTTTCTAACTATACTCATTGTATTTGTTCACTTAAAGAAAAATAGAATGGAACTATATTGTGATTTTTGGACTGCTTCAAAGATTTTGCTGGGATACATACAGTGTGGGAGAAAAATCAGTGTTGTTGGAGACTTTGGAGTTTGCTCCATCCACCAGATGTGTATATGTATATACGTGTACAGGTATAGATGTGTACAGGTATATACGTATATAAAGTTGTTAGAACTTGCTCATTGAAACTTTTTTTTCACCCATTGTGTGAATGTGTATGTATGCATGTATGTATGTATGCATGGATGTATGGATGGATATATGAAGTTATTGAAGCTTCTTGGAGCTTACTCATTAGAGCTTCTCTTGCTTCATGCATCTAGTGTGTGTGTGTGTGTGTGTGTGTGTGTATGTGTGTGTGTGGTCTTTTTTTTCCTCCTCCTTTCCTTTCCTTTTCTCTAGTCATTGGCTACTATCAGTAGCAGCCCCTCTTGGTTACAATAAGTTCCGGCCTGGAGAATCAAGCCTTTTACCCTCATAAAAAAAAGTCTGCTGTGTGATCAGTCACCAGTTACACAGTACTGGCCCCCAGCTGTCAACTCTACTCCACCTCAGTTTACTCTGTGGTATGTAAGCTGGCCTTTTTTACAATTTACACTTCTGGTAAAGGGGAAAACAGTGTTCTTCAATAGAGTGTCACTGGGTATATCAAGCACAGTCCAGAACAGACCTCATGTCCAGGAGTAGCTGCCCGTCACAAAAGGTATTCTGGGTTTGTGTGCTTTTTTGGTGTTGTTGTTGTTTTTTTTAATCTTACTGGTTTTCTTTTTTTTGTTTGTTTGTTTATTTTGATTTTTCATTTTTGGTTGTTTATATTGAGAAAGTGTGTGAGAATATATAGATGAGTAGGTAGAGCAGTGAGTGGGAAAGATCTGGGTGACTTGGGGAAAGGGAAAGAGTCTGATCACAATGCATTTATATGAAGAGATATTTAATAAAAATAAAATTGCTCTGAATAAAATATTCAAAATGAAGCAATATTTAAATAAATGTGAAATACAGTAAGAAGTAGAGAGGCAAAAGTACCCTGAGTATATTTAGTATACATAATTGGATTTCTTAAATAAGATGAGAGAAACTGTTCAGAAGCAACATAATAAAGTTCCTCAATTGGTGAAAGAATTTTATTAATGAGAATCTTCATAAGAAGTTGATGAAATTTCTCAAACTGTAATAGTCAAAAAGATTTACTCCCTGTGTCAATTGCTTGTCTCATTGCTTCGACAAAATAGCCTGCAAAAGGAACTTGTGCAAGGAGAGTTTCTGTTGGCTCACATTTACAGAAGACAGTCCATCATGGCAGGTAAGTCCCAATGGCAGGGGCTTGAGAAAGCTCCTATTGAATTCACAACAAGGATGCAGAGGCTAATGGTGAGCACTCATGGTTAGTTTGCTTCTTCCATTTTATTCAGCCATAGACCCCAGAACACTGAATGGTGCCTCTCACCTCAGTTAACATAGTCTAGATGATACATCCCAGGCATACTTACCTAATGGCTTATCTGCAGGTAATTCTAGATCCTGTCAAACTGATGATACATAACCATGACACTAACAATGATTTTTACATGTTTGTGTATAAGTAGGTGATTATATGAGCTTTACAGGAATAGCATAGGAACTTGATCCCCTTTCCACTTTCAATATCCACCCCTTACCCAACTGTGCATAGTATCTTACAGATGAACTTGCCATCATTTTTTTTATTTTAGGTAGTAGTATAATCAATTCATTCTCATATTTAAATAATAACAGTAACTAATAGGCCTTTTGTATATCAAGAGGCACATTTTAGGTTCCATATCTATTACATTTCTAGAGATCATGCAATTACTGACCCAATCAACCTCTCCAATGTAATGGAACAATGTGATAATGTGCAACTATGAGACGTGAGGGACTCCTCTCTCAAGCCTCCTTTGAAGAACTCCTTGTTCTTTAATTCAGCTTCTTCCTTTTATATCCATGCTTTTAATGTAATTTTCCTTATGTGTCATTTCCAAAGCTATAATAACATACCAGGAGACTCTGACAGTTTTATTAGAAGCTTTATTATCATAAACACTAAGTGTCCATGCCACTCAAACACCTTCATTTCCTGGCTTCCCACCTACATTTCATTTTCTGGTGATGAAATAAGTAATTGTGATATCATTTCATGGAGTGAATATTACATATTCCATTTATTCTCAAAAAAGACTATTATCCATAGCCAGTCACAATATCAAACATCTGTAATTCCAGAAATAAGAAGATCAAAGCAAAAGAATTGTCATGAATTTGGGTACAGCCTGGGATATATAATGAGTTGCAGGAGAGTCAGAGCTACTTAGTAAACACTGTTTCAAGGAAACCAAAACCATATATGATATATGAACAGTCCAATTTCAAAATTTTATTCTGAGGGTCCACTTCTTTGGATTAGTCATGGTTCTCCAAAGAAGCAAAAGCAATACGACATAGGAATACTGATTTTTGTCAGAGAATATAGCAAATTCAAGTGGTTTCCAACAAAGGAAATATAGGTTTTTTGGAA